AAAAAAAAAACCGCTCCGGTTTCTTTCCACCCCCCAGGAGCCTGGGGGGAGGGGCGCTCGGGTCCCGCCGGGCCGGGGCTTGTATCTTACCCCCTTCACGAGGTGCTGGGTTCTCGCAGGTGTGGATGTGGTCTGGATGTTGTCCTGTGTCCTCTGGTCTGTATTTTAGGAAGAGTTTTCTTTGTTATATTTTCATAGATCTATGTGTTATTGGGAGGAGATTTCCACTGCTCTACTCACGCCACCATCTTGGCTCCGCCTCCTGGTTGCTTAATTTTTAACACATTCTAAAGGTACTACTGTTTTATTCTCTCCCCCCCACATTGTATATATATATGGTGTCATAATCTACATCTTATTTTGTGTATCCCTTCACTAATATTGTGTATAATTAATTTTGCTACTTTTGTCTTTTTAACTTCATACTGTCTTTGTGATTGATCTGCTGCCTTTACTATAGGTTGGTTTTCACTGATGAAAACATTTATACTTAAGAGCATTTGCACCTAATGAAGTCCCTTTAATGTATCCTGCAAGGCTGATTTAGTGGTGATGATTTTTTTTAACCTTCATTTATCTGAAAATCTTTTAATCTCTTCTTCAATTCTGAATGATAACCTTCCTGGGTACCAGATTAATCTTCATTATAGATTTTTTCTTTTCAGTATTTTGAATATTTCATGCCAATCCCTTTTGGCCTGCAATGTTTCTGCTGAGAAATCTTCTGATAGCCTTATGAGGTTTCTCTTATAAGTAATTGTCTGCATTTCTCCTCCTGCTATTAAGATTCTGTGTTTATTTTAATCTTTGCTATTTTAAATCCTACGTGTCTTGGTGTGGACCTTCTTGGATTCATTTTTGTTAGGGGCTCTCTGTACTTCCAGGACCTGGATATCTGTTTCCTTCCCCAGATTTGGCCGTTTTTCAGCTATTAATTCTTCATATTGAATTTTTCTCTCTTTTCTCTTCCTGGGACCCATATTATGTGAATATTGTTTCATTTGGAGTTGTCTCACAGCTGTCTTAGCATCTTCTCACATTTAGAAATTATTTTTTCTCTCTGTTCCTCAGCTTCATTATTTTCCACTACTCTGACTTCCAGCGTGCTGATCCATTGCTTTGCCTCCTGCAGCCTACTATTCATTCCTCTATTGTATGTTTTCCTTTTGGTTATTTTATTCTTTAGCTCTGGCTGGCTTTTCTGTACTTTTTTCTTTCTTTTTGTTGAAGTTCTCACTGGGATTTTCAATTCCTTTCCCCAGTTCAGGGAATATCTTTATAATCATTACTTTGAATTCTTTATCAGAAAGATTGCTTCGCTCCATTTCATTTTGCACTTTTGTTGGAGTTTTGTCTTCTTCTTTTGTTTGGAACATACTCCTCTGCCTCCTTATTTTGTCTGGCTCTCTGTATTTCCTATTTTGTATTTGATAGATTATGCCTCCTGGTCTTGAAAATAGTCACTTTATGCAGTACATGTCCTACAGTGCCTAGAAATGCAAAACCTCCTACTCACCAGAGCCCAGCTCTGTGTTGTGGATGTGCCCTGATTGCTGTTGGTGGACTGTGAGTGGGGCCCACCTTCTTCTGGTCTCCCATCAATGGTGGGTCCCCACCTTTGTGTGCCTGTCTGCCAGCAATGTTTGATTCCCACTTCTGCACCTTTGTGTGATCTCTGGCATTTGTTCTGGGATGTGTTGTGCTCAGGGCTATCCTCTGCCTGTCTGCCAGCAATGGCTAAATACCAGCCTATATATGTTGGGTGGGGCAGGTCTGCAGGGGCATACCAGGGCCGAGCCATTGGGGTAGGTGGAAAGTTTCACAGATGGCTTCAAAAAGTGGCCCACTATTTAGGCTGAGGGAAGACTGGAAAAATGTTGTCTCCCTGCCTTTTCTTCTCTGGAGGGTGCTTCCTCAGACCACTGTCCCTCCAGCACACTTCCCAAAGCTAGCAAATCTTTCTAACTTCTGCTTCTGTGTTGGCTCTCAAGGGATAGGCAGAACACACCAGTCCTCCACAAGTGAGCAGAGACTTGGGCCCCCCACAGCACTCCAACTCTCCCTGTGTCCAGCCCCATTAATCTTCAAAACCCAATGTGAAGTTGACTCATCTTCCTGGATCAGATCCTCAGGAACAGGTGTGCCAGGTTCCTGGGACTTTATCGCCTTCCCATTCTGTTCCTCTCCTTCCCACTTGTGTGCTTTGATAGGAGAAGGGCTTGGATCCCAACTGGTCATGTCTCTGCCCCTTTACTCTTCTCAGTGTCGTCTTTTCTTCTTTATCAAGTATAGATGGTCTGTTCTATGGTCTTCAGGTAATTTTCAGAGTAAGTTCTATTCAATGTAGTTGCCTCCTCAGAGTGTACATTGGAGGAGGTTATCATAGTGACCTCCTATTCCGCCATCTTGCTCCAACTGCTCATTAAGCTTCTTGTATGTTCATTTCTGTCCTCAAATTTGGGTAGTTTTTAGCCATTATTTCTTTAAATAACCTCTCCATGCCTTTCTCTCTCAGTTCTTCTGGAACTCCCATAATGCCTGCATTAGTGCACTTAATGGTATCACATAAATTCCTTAGGCTTTATTCACTTCTCTTCATTCTCTTTCCTTCTTGTTCCTTTGACTCAATAATTTCAAGACCTGTGTTCAGGTTTCCTAATTCTTCTGTCAGATTAAATTTTTGTTGAACTCTAGTGAACTTTTCAATTCAGTTTTTGCGATTTTTTTTAAACTCCAGAATTCCTGTTTGGTTCTTTTTATAATTTCTATCTCTTTCATGACATTCTCATTTTGGTCCTAAATAATTTCCTCATTTTACTTGTGCACTGTTTTTTTCTTAGTTCACTGGGCTTATTTAAAGCAGTTGTTTTATTTTTTATCAAGTAAGCTATAGGCCTGTGCTTCTTTAGGGTCAGTTTCTGGATATTTATTTTGTTCCTTTGATTGAACTGTTTCCCCATTCCATTTTATGACTCATCCTCTTTTGCTGAAATTCAGGCATTTAAAAAGCAGCTACTTCTCCCAGTTTTTGTGGACTAACTCTATACCAGGGAATGCCTACACTGATCAGCCCAGTTTAAAGGCTCAGGATCCACTTAAACCTTTTCTGGAAAGGCATCTTCCCTGTGCCTGTGCATGTGCTTTTATTCCCATTCCCCATATACTTGGCTGCTTTTAAATAGACTAATTTCCCTCAGAGTTTCACCCATCTCTTGAAGTTCTCTTGTCTTCATTTGCCCATAATCTCTGGCCCCTAGGCACTTGTGGGTATGCAGAACACCTGCAGCTCTCACCTACCACTGCTTTGTGTAGCCTCCAGCCTGATAAGCAAACTGTGCCACCATTCCTGTCAGTGTTCCAAGTCAAGAGAGACAGAAACCAATCCCTTGGGCTGCCTATATACAAGCCAGAGTGTTACAAGCAACTTCCACTCTTTTCCTTCTATCCTGAAGGAGAAACTGGGAATTGGGCACAATCCTCTCAATTGCACTGTGCTGCACTGGGAAGGGGTGGGTCAAGGATGAGCAAAAGCACTATGATTTTTTCTGTTTTGGATACAGCTTTTTTTTAGTTAGGCATTCATTTGGCTACTGTAGCTTCATAACCAGTTTCTAGAGTTCTCACAAATCTACTTTGATCCATCCATTATTGTTCATTTAGCATTTCCATGGGGGAACAAGGGCCTGGAGCATCCTAGTTTTCCATCTTGCTAATATCACTGATATTTGTTAAAGCTTCATATGAATCTATAATTATCTCAAAATAAAAAGTTTAATTTTTAAGAAGAAGCTCAAATTTGCTCAAGTCCAGACTGTCTCTTTCAGCACAGATCTTTCTGCTAGAAACTTTACTCTTTTTTTTAATTGAAGTATAGTTGATATACGATCATATTAGTTTCAAGTGTGCAACACATAGGTTCAACAGTTATCCATATTATTAAATTCTCCCCCCAACTAGTTCAGCTACTATCTGTCAACATAGGAAGGTGTTTCAGAATCATTAACTATATTCTCCATGCTTTACTATTGTCCCCATGACCAACCTACATTATGATTGAGAATTTTTGTGCCACTTTATCCCCTTTGCCCTCCCCACCCGTTCACTCCATCCCCTTCCTCATGGTAACCACCAGGTACTTCTCAGTGTCTATGAGTCTACTGCTTTTTTGTTCATTCTGTTTTGTTATGTACTTTATTCCACAAATAAGTGAAATCATATGGTATTTGTCTTTCTCTGCCTGGTTTATTTCACTGAGCATAATACCTTCTAGATCCAACCATTTTGTTGCAAATGGCAGGATTTCTTTTCTTTTTATGGCTGAATAATATTCCATTGTGTACATGTACTAGAAATACCATTCAGTCCAGTTGTTCCATTTCTAGAAGTTTACCCAAAGAAAATAAAATCCCTGATTCAAAAAGATATATGCACCCCTATGTTTACTGCTGCATCATTTACAATAGCCAAGGTATGGAAGCAATCTAAGTGTCCATCAATAGATGAATGAATAAAGAAGATGATGAACTTTACTCAAATTATAAGCATGCCCAATTTTTTTTAATAACATCAGAACTCCCTTACTTTTGACATCTTCCCACCTAGCAATCTAACATTTCCCTGACACAAGGAAAATATAGTAATCTATTCCCCCAGCTAAATTAACCCACTTATTTTTATTTTTCTTTATTCAAGGTTCTGGTGTGAAATGTGTAACCGCTTTAACAAAGGGCTCCAACCCAAGCAAAATATGCTAGAAAGCCTCCTGGCCTGGAAATTAAGAAGCAGAGGGAAAAGCTGGACATAGATGTGCACAAATTAGAAAAGGTGAGGAGACTCTCGTCCCTTCTGGGTAGGTCCAGCCCACTTGGAGTTGAATTGTTACTCTGAGAAGCTTCCTGGCTGGCTTGTTATACTTTCTGGCTTCCAGGTGTCCTGTGTCTACAAAGCTCTGGGGCACAACTCTTTCTTACCTCCAATGGAAAGTGGTAAATATACTCAACTAGTTAATTAAACAAGTGGGTTTGTTCCGTTTAGGATTTGGATGGATTTATTAGGAGAAACAAGAGGGAATGGCAGGGAAATCATACTGACATTTGTTAGCCATCAAAAGAATAACATCTTCGGTGTACTGATAGGAACAATGAAATTGTTATGTTTCCAATTAGGAAAACCTTACAAAAATTTTGATTTCCTTCCCATTTTAGATTTCAAACTCTGTTCATTGAGTGGTCATGCTATGTGTATGATTTTGCTTTACAATACCAGCAAAACCAAAGTCAGACACTTGTTTTTAATTATAGGTTAAAGAAGGTCCTTTCAAAATATGGAAAATGCTGAGCTGCTTCTGGAATCTAAGGGTCGCCATGTGTGTATTTGAATGAAAGGGAAAAGATATCTTGTAGAAAAAAATTATTGGAAATGGTTTGCTCTTTAAGAACTAGGCATGAAACCTACTTTAGGTCAGATACAGCATAGCTTTTCTGCTCCCTATAAGTAAACAAATATCCTTTTTTGTGGAAAAAATGCATTGTGATTATATCAATTCCCAAACTTTTGGATGTTATCTTGGAAGGCAACAGTCAGTTACATGGTTCCATGTTTTAAAAAAGAAGAAAAAGAAGAGATAAAACTGAAGTATAACTTAAAATCATAGGAAACAAAGGAAAGCAGTAGCCCCAAGAAGGCCTAGCCCTAAACAGAAACTGAGAAGTAGGGAAAATTTTTCCTACAGTCTGTGCCTCCTCTTTTAACTATTAATAGCCTTTTCCACAAGGCCCCCAGAGTAAGTCCCCTACTCTAGACCCAGCCCTCTTACTCATCTATCTCCTGAGAGAGAATGAGATTCATTCTAGATAGAATAAGATCACTTTCTGAGTTTAAAGTAAGTAAGTCTTCCTTTTAAAATATATATATATAACTATTACTAACATTCTTGTATTAACACAGAGAAGAAAAACAAAACTGGCCCATAATATTATCACTCAGATAATCCTGTTAATGTTTTTAAAAAGGTAGTAAATGTTTTTTAAAAGGTAGTAAAAGTGTAAAGTTAGAATATACAAAATACAAAAATGTACAAAATGAAAAGTTTGAGAGTCCCCCAGCCACCTACCCATTCAGTTCTACTCTCCAAAGGTTATCACATTTGTTTTTGTGTGTATGTGATTGTATGATTTTCAGGAAAATAAAAATGCTATGCCTGTACCCTGAGGCAAGAGCTCTTAACTAGTCCATGAACCCATAGCTGTCCACAGATGCCCTTCAGGGGTAAATTTTACTGAAAATCTGTGTGTGTGCTGTCTCATGCACACACATGTGCATGCATGCAGTTTTCTGAAAAGAAGGTCCATCTTTTTCTTCAGATTTAAAAAAAAAATCTATTAAAAAGTTAAGAATCACTATTTGTAAAGTATCAGTTAATCATTGCAATTTCCCTGAAAGTGAAAATATCCATTGGAGGTAACATGGGGTAAGTAAGACTTTAGCATCAAGAAGAGGAAGGGTCAGATCCCAGCTGTACCACTTCCTAAATGTGTGAACTGGGGTTACTTACTTAAATTCTCTAAACCTCAGTTTTCTCATCTGTAAAATATAACTAATACCTAACTAGTAGGATTTTATAACTGTAAAAGGAAGTACTGTATGTAAAGTGCCCAGCACATAGAGGTATTCAATAAATGTTAGTTATTTACTCCTTTACCTTTCAGTAATATAACTACATTTATCAGAATAGAGAACATTTATAGATACAAGATGCTTGCAGATCCTTTATGATAGGGCTTTTAAAGTACTATGTCAAGTGATGAAGAAAAGATGATAAGATGGTAAGGAGGAGGCAAAAGGTCACTTGCTACCATATAAGTGACAGCAGTCAGGATCTCTGCAGGTCAACATATTTGCCTAATTTTTCTCCTGTTTCTAATTTGTTTCAACCATTCCTTGTTCCTGTGACAGAAACTGAAAGCCCATAATGAAGTACCAGAAGAAATCTGTACCTGTTCTAAATTAGGGAATTTATTATTTCACTATCTGGGGTGTCCTTTGGCCAATCCCCTTGGCTTTATGGGTATCGATGGAGACCTGAATACCTTGGTGGAAAATGGCACCCTGTCTAGAGAAGGAGTCCTTCGCGTTCAGATGGATCAAGTGAAAAGCCAGTGTACAGACTTCCACCATGACTGTTGTGGAATCATGGGCAGCCTTAGGGCCACAAACATTTCTGGGGATGTATACTTCTCTAGTGACACAGGCATCTCTGAGGCCAGGGAGTTCTCTGGGGCAGTGGGCTTCCCTGGAGACATTAGTATCTCTGGGTCCATGAGCTCCTCTGGGAGCATGGGCATCTCTGAAGACATAGAAATCACCAAAAGCAGTACCAAGGAGGCAGGCTGCACCAAGCAACAGTTAGCTACTATCTGCCTCCATGCTAGGTACACCTGCAGTACCCACAATTATCTTTGTCCAAATGACAGATATGCTGCTTTTCTAATTGTTTTAAATGAGGGGAGCCAGGGCACCCCTTTTCCCACTTAAGAATCTGGTAGGGGATTTAGGGCCTTTACTGATTAATCAAATAGTATATACATGTCAAGCAGCCCAGAATGTAGGCAAGAAAGAGAGTATGTTACTGTTTTAGAACGGGATTTAACATCAGAAATGTTGCTGAGATACTAGACTGGTTTCATGATTTCATTTTCCTTAACGATCAACTTCCTCTACTTTTCTATCCTTACTGCTATAGCATGAGAACAAAGTGAAAAGATTGTAACAGTGGAGAATTAAGACCCTGTTGAAGGAGGTTGATCGTTAAGGAAAATGAAATCATGGAACCAATCTAGTATCTCGGACTTCTAGTGCCTGCAGAAGCAAAACCACTGGTCTTCATAAAAAGACCTAAAGAGAGGCCTGTTTTAGACACTGTAGGTGTCACATCAAGTTTGTGGATTTTTAGATACAATTGGCACATTTAAAAAAATCTATTCTTATAGCAGGCCCAAATACTCTTGAGGGAAGAAATGTGTTTCTTATTTTTAAACACCAGATTTTTCCTTTGGGGTTTATACTTTTGCTGTACACTTTCCTATAGGGATGTGTGAGTCATACACTATATATTGTCAGCATTTTCAGAACTCCTACTGCCAAGAATTCAGGTCCTCACACAAGATGTCTATTCCAAATACTCTGTCTGGTTTAAGCTAAAAAATGAGATGTCTTAGTGAAAGAGCCATCCCTGCTACTACCACAGTCAGTTGTAAACATAGACATCTCTAAAGGATTACCTTATTAGTTACTTTTCTCTTAGAAATGAGGGGCCTTTTAAGTGTTAGAAGTAGGAGGGAAGATCTAAGATAGTTCCTTGATTTCTTACCCTTAGCTAAAATATGGACCCAAAACAACCTTCCTCTTTAGAGGAAGAACACTAAATCATTTTTGGTTGTCTTTTTCCATATGTCTATGGCCATTTTTCTGGTAACTGTTTTAATTGTGTTTTTAAAGAACTAATCCATTTGAGTCTTTTCTATTTATACAGAGGCCATTTTTCTACTTATCTCTTCTTGATAACTGCCTTGCTTCTATAATTTTAAAGTATCAAGGTGATTTCCTAATGTATCTCCTCTGATCCCCTTTCCACAATTTGGTCCTTGTCTATATAAAACTCAAATCATCAGATGTTGCCTGTTGTCATTTGACTTCTTACTTCTGCGGGAAAAACTGGGATTTTTGCAAATCATTTTAACTTGTGGCTCCACCTAACCCTGGCTTTATGGGGAAGTTGTCAAAGAAGATGACATATCAATCATATGCTACAAGCAAGTCTATTCTCGATCTTGCTCTATATCCAGAGCTTTTTCCCATATCTCAGTCTAAGTTTTATAGTCCATTAACTAGCATGATAGTCCAGATAAACTGTTAAGGTTTTTTCAGGTAAAGGAAAAAGGCAAATGGCAAAATGCAGCTTTTGCAAATCTTATAAAAATTAGTTTTAAAGTCTCAGACTTATTTCTACAGACCTGAAAAAAAGCAGTACATAGTACCAAGCCTTATTTTTTAGATCCAAAACAAAATTAATAATGAAAAGGTCTTTTCAATACAATTCTAAACTGAGAAGTGGTAAAGAGCAACACTGGTATTTCCAAAAGCAAAAATAAAAATGTTTAAGACTCTCTTATTTTGTTGAGGATCTAATGCCATGGAATCCATTTCAGCCTAAACATCTGTGAGGTTAATTTGTTTGGACTTTATTATTTTTATTCCCCAACGTGTCCCATTTTTGCTTGTGTATAACATACACCCAATGAAGGAAAACCTTGTGCAAATCCCCTGTTTATTCTCAAAACCAAATACCCCCTGTTTTATATTTAGATTTGAAAATATGAGAGAAGCAAAATGTTCAGTGGAATAGAAATATTCATACACTGATAAAAACCCAGTAGCTATCTGTAGTCAGGAGCTTAGCAATAGAGAGAAGACTCCTGAAGGAAAGTTGGTGGGTTTGCTAGAAAAAATTATCTATTAGTGGCTTTCATTTCATACTCATATAGCATCTGTGCTGTTAAAGAATGTGATTCCCTCCCACACTGCCCTACCCTTCCAGTTCCCTGAGAAGAAATCCCATTCTCATGTAACTATTCCACTTAAATAGGGAGGAGGCATTTATCCATTTGCCACTGTCTCATCCATTAACCTGACCTCTGCCTGTTTCCTAAACAAGTTTCACAGGCCTGGAGTTACTGCTTATCTTTTCTAAGCATGAGACAAGCTCTGTGCCTATGCTTGTGGTCATGCTCAGATTCTGCATGAACACCATTTTTTTTAATTCACTAATTAGTTACTCAGTTTATAGAATGCCAGATTTCTCATGATAATATATAAAACAACCCTAAATAATAAACCTAAGGAATAACTATAGTCTACTTTTTAAAGAAGAAATTCAGGATTAGGGTTTCTTATATGAACGAAAACCTGAAACTGTTTGTAACTAACAGTGGAGGAATAGAAAGCTTGTAGTGCATATATATTGGACACAGGTATCTTTGAAAAGTCACCCTAGAAACTGTGTTCAGTTACTGCCAAGTCAGTTGTTATTGCCTGTCAACATACATAGATACCTTTTGTCTAAGACACACCACACACTTGAATGAAAGTAAAATCTTTCCCTGATCACTTCCAACCAGAAGGAATTCAAGTCTTTTTAAGATGTGCTTTTCAGACCAAACTGGAAAATACTTAAGCTTAACCTGAATTTGCCAGAAAGAGAACTTTAATAACTCTCAGATCTTTGTTATATTACTAGCGTTTATTAAACATTTAGTACCTTTACTTGATATTATTAAGCATTGATATACCACTGGAAAATCTATGAAAACACTATAAAGTGGCCCTTTTTCAAACAATTGTATAGGGAAATGTGGGGGCCCAGCCTACGGCCGAGGCTGAGCCCCACTCTAGCTGGACAATGCCCTAAAGATGGCGCCTGCTTCCTAGACACCACCTTTCCTGGCCCTACAGCTCAGCGCATAAGGAAATCTCCATGATTGGCTTGTCCCCATTTCCGTGCTCGTGCTCATAGCATGCTTTTCACATGTTTCCAATAAGACTGAACCTGGCGCATGATCAGTCAGCTGATTGGTTGGGATATGCTATATAAGCTGCTGCCCTGGAGGAAGTGGTGTGGTTGTTGTTTTTTGCTTTTGCCTTTCGCTAGATGGATGCTCGGACGCCCATAATAAAGATTCCTAACGAACCAGGCCTTCAGTGATCGTTCTCCTGCCGTTGTCCTAGGTGGCGGGACGTGATAGCTGGTGCCGAAACCCGGGACGAAAACCTGGCATCCGAGGATGGAGTGGAACTTCTCACCCTGCAGCGATCTGAGTGGACACCCTTTGGAAGAGTTACACAAGTGACTGACATTTTGGAGAGTGGTGAGTATGGTCAGGGACAAAGTGAAAGCAACATCAGGTCGTGCGAATGCAAGCAATTGTGGTGTGTGTGTTTAGCCTTTGTGTTCCTTGTCTTGTTCTGTCTTAGTCTGTATATGTTTCTGTGTTTCCTCACGAAAGAATAAGAGCGCTGTGGAAAGTTCGCAGGTAAAGCGACGTAGACTAAAGTTCGCGGGAAGCGACGAAAACCAGTTAGCGAGGACTCTCAGGCTGTAAGGAGACTCAATTCAGGGGTACGAGCGCAGGCGCACGTAACCTCAACTTACAATAGAGTCAGCCTCCTTTCCTCTGCACTGTGGGTTCAGAGGTGTCTAGGATGTGGGTGGAGGAACCACTCCGGGCACTCCTAAGGGCTAATGGAACTTCATTAAAGGCTAAAACCGCGAGGGCTTTCTTACATACTGTTGAGAAGCATGCGCAGTGGTTTTTGGATGAGGGAAGGATCACTGCACCCTTGTGGGAAAGACTAGGGAACGATTTGCGCAAAGCAGATCAAGCGGAACCGCTCCCGGTAGGGACGATTCCTATATGGAGTCTAGTCAGGGGGTGCCTTAAGGAGGATAAGCCAAGCTGCAGAGAGGCTATAAGAGAGGAGGAGGAAGTCCTGGAAGATGTCCGGGAGGAAAGATCCTCCGCTAGGACCTCAGAGAGGGGGTCCGAGCGAGGAGGATCTACAGATGAGGAAGGGGAGCTATTGGGGGAGGAATTAAAAAAGCATATAAGGAGACTTAGAATCGCCCAGAGGAAGGAACGCCCTATCCCCCGCAGTTATCCCTCCCTAATGCAGCTGAGGCAACAGAAAGAGGAAGAGGAGTCTAAGGACACCCCCCTCTCAACAACCCTGAAACCGTCCTTGAAAATGGTGCCATCAGCCCCCCCTCTTCCTCTGGCTTCATTTGCAGAACTGCCCCTGTATCACGTACAGCCCTGTTGTCGTACGTGTGATTGCAATCAAGGACTAGAAAGAGGGGGGTGGAGGGAGTGGCTGAGAGAACAAGGAAGTGCCACTTTCCCTGTATTTGAAGACCCTAATACACAACAGAGGTATCATCAAGCCCTAGATTTCAAGGTCATTAAAAGTCTGAAGGAAGCATCCTCAACTTATGGCCCCCAGGCAGCTTTCACTGTTTCTTTAGTGGAGTCAGTAGCTTCTCTTAATCTGACGCCGGATGATTGGGCCAATGTAGCAAGAGCAGCCCTCTCTGGAGGTCAGTACCTGACATTTAAGACGCCTGGCAAGAATTTTCACAGGACACGGCTCGGCGTAATGCCGCAGCAGGTAATCATCAATGGAACTTAGACATGTTGATGGGCACGGGTCCATATTTGGGTCAACATAATCAGGTAGGATTCCCCCCAGTGGTATATATGCAAATAGCCACGGCAGCAATGAGGGCCTGGAAGACGCTGCAAGGCACAGGTGACCTACAGGGTCAGCTGTCAAAGGTGTTGCAAGGATCTAATGAGCCATATGCAGACTTTCTAGCCAGACTGATGCAAACAGCCGGTCGCATACTTGGTGATGTTGATACTGCTATGCCCCTTGTGAAGCAGCTGGCCTATGAGCAGGCCAACAAATGGTGTAGGGAGGCCATAAGACCCTGGAAGAACAAAGATCTGAGTACTTATATTAAGCTTTGTAGGGACATTAATGACAGCTTGGTGCAAGGACAGGTTATGGCCACAGCCATAACTCAGGGATTGAGAGATGCTCGTGGCAGGTCAACCCCTCCTGGGGCCTGTTTCTACTGCAAACAAATGGGTCATTTGAAAAGAGATTGTCCCAAGTTGAAGGAAGCCAACTAACTTGCTAGCAGGCCCAAACCAAGATTATGCCTGAGATGTAGAAAAGGAAATCACTGGGCCAGTGAGTGTTGGTCAGTGGTAGATGTGGAAGGCCGACCGCTGCCCCCTCAAGAGCCAGAAAACGGGAGGAGGGGCCCTCCACCTCAGGGCCCGCAAATGTATGGGGTGGTTCAACAGATACCCAGAACTCACCACCCTTTGACAGATCAGGGAGTTCACCCAGCACCGAGGGATCACGGAGAGCAACAGCAGGAAGCGCAGGAGTGGACATCTGTGCCGCCACCAGACTTGTATTGACCTCCGAGATGGGAGTTCAAGTTGTAGAGTCAGATTTTAAGGGACCTTTGGCAAAAGGAGTAGTGGGTCTCTTATTGGGCCGGAGCTCCACTACTAAAGCAGGGTTAATAGTACACCCAGGAGTTATAGATCCAGACTATGAAGGAATAGTTAAAATTATGGTCTCCTCCCCACGAGGAATCATGGCTATTAGCCCAGGAGATCGCATTGCTCAAATTCTTATGCTTCCTAGCAAACATGATTTGTATG